ACGGGTGAATACTAGTATATAATAATTAGAGGTACATATTAAAACTAATAAATTAAATCAGTCAAAGTTTGATCAATATCTCAATCCATATTTTCCATTAAATAAAGTATAATTGTCCCCAATAATATTTATAAAGATAAGATCAAAGGATGGAAAAAATTATACGAACGTGTAAGGTGGTGTTTGTAAAAGCTTTTGAAAAGTGATTCTAAACTTTTTTGGGTTTAAAATCACTTTTGAAGTGTTTGCAATACCATCGTTTGCTTCTAAATAAGGTGCGTTAAGCTATAGGTGGTGTTTGCAAAAGTTTATTTAAAAGAAGTTATGAATTGTGGATTAAATGTATATTATAACAAGTTGAGGGTGTTTGCAAATTTGCTGGAAAATTAACTTAAATAGAAAAAACAGATACAAGGGTGTTTTACAAATTATAGCTTAAAGTTAGTTATTTTAATAGAAGCAAAAACAAAAGCTCGTTTTGCAAACACCTAAAAACAAATTATGAAGGAAAAAAAAAAAAAAAAAAGAGTTCATAATCTGTAAGTAAAAGTTTTGCAAACACCACCATAGTTTAAAAAGCATTTCTATTTAGTTGATTTTCCCGTATTTTTTGTAAATACTCGCAACTTGAAAAAATAAGCACTTCATACCAGCTTAACTTACAATTACTTATTAAATATTAATTATTAGCCCTAAAATATTTGCAATTGCAACTATACGTGACACTGGAGAGTTAGATGCACTTGGTTATTTATATTGAGTGATTGTTAATCGTAAATGAGGTTAGATAACACCCCACGAACAAATATACTAATATACACACGTTTTGTGTGATTATATGCAGCTACACGGTTAACAATTGCCCGTACAAATAATTGGGTGTAACATCTAGTTTGTAAGTCAAATTGTAGAAAAAACAGCATTCGAACCAATTTGGAACTAGTAATCAATTATACTTAAATAAAGGGCAGATTACAAATAACTCCATCAATAAATACTTATTCATAAAGAGGTCCATACAAAAAACACTTTTACAAAAAAAATCACACACTGTCCACTGTATAAGACTAAAATAGTCCCTCACATTTTAATATGTTCTACTTTCATCCTTTAATTTAATTTAACTTTAATTTGACCCAAAATTTCACAAATTATTAAATTTTAACACAAAATGCAATATTTAGTACAATTTCGACCGTTGACCGCTGGTCTCTGGCGTTAACTTTTTTTTTTGTGTTTTTTTTCTTCTTCTTGATTTTTCTGTCGGTTTCCGTTGTTGACTTTTTCGATCTGTTTTTATTTCTTCTGCCGCCGCTGACCGGCGGTCAACGCCGGTATCCGACGGCGTGACTTTTTTTCTTTAACATCCTTTTGCCCCGTTTATACACCAATATTGATGTGGTTGACAGTAATATTAACAATATTACTGTAAAACACTGTAATATTAACTATACTACAGTTTAACATAGTAATATTGTTATATTAATCTCTAGCACAAATATATTAACACAGCAAAAGTCATTATTATTAGAGTAATATTAATATGTTGATCATTCAACAAATGTAAACATAATAAAAAGCCAAAATAATTAATATTGATGTGGTTGACAGTAATATTGTCATACATATTAATATTACTATAACAACAGTAATATTACCGTCAACAACAGTATTACTATTGTGTTTACAATAATATTACAATAGTAGATAGTAATATTATTACGTTACTCCGTCAACAACTCAAACAAAAAACAAAAAAAAATAATATTGATTTGGTTGACAGTAATATTATTGTGTTTACAGTTATTTTACCGTCAACAACAGTAGTATAAGTACGTTGACTTGTCAACAAATCAAACAAAAAAGGAAGAAAATGCCAAAAAAATAATAATATTGTCCATGACTGTAATTATACTGTCAACGACAGTACAATTACATAAACGTACTGTCAACGACAGTACAATTACGTTAATGTACTGTCAACGACAATACAATTACTGTCTGCGACAATACAATTACTGTTAATGACAGTACAATTACGGTTAACTTTAGTGGCGGGCATAAAAAAAGGGACAAAAAAATTAGGAAAAAAAATCGAAAAAGTCAACGCCGGAGACCGGCGGTAAAAAAGTAATTTAAGAAAGAAAAAATTAAAAAAAAAAGTCAAAATTAGATTTTTTTTTTGTCAAAATTGATTAAATTGAAGTTATAATTAATATTTAGGTGTAAAGGGTTGAGGGTAATTTCGTCATATTCATTAATTTTTACTTTATTTATAATACATATTAAAGGGATGGGATTATTGGCGAAAAATATATAACCCCTAAATTTAGAATAATAAAAATGGTTGGTCAGGGTCTTTTAAAAAAAATCCCTGAAATAAGTTGTGTAATAACGATATATCATAACAGAAAAGAGCACGAAGAAGTTATCATTAAAATTCGTGATCTCTTGCCTCATGGCCAACAATAATAAAGCAAGCATATGATCAAGGTTGGCTCCTTGTAAAAAAAGTAGGTTATATCTAATCAAGATTAGTATTTTAATAGAAAAAGAAGGGATTCTTTGAGAAAAACCCCTAAAAAGTAAAAAACTTTCATTAGTAAAGAGAAGCTCAAACTATTTTGTACCATTTTTGAAAAGTCCACTCTTAATTTCAGTCAGTCATTTTTTCAATTATGCCCATGCCATCTCACCAGCACTATCACGCGTTATGCAGCTACCTCATCCGCCGTTTTTTTTTTTTTTATAATTATTTTTAAAAAAAGTTAAATCTTTTATTTTTCTTTTTGATTTTTTTTTTACTTTTTTTTTTCTATCAAGTATATTGATCGACTATAACTATAAAACATAGTCTTAAGGAAGTGACTACTAAAAATAAAATAAAAACACAACTACATAAAAACAAAATCAACATTTTTTTTAAAGAACAAATAATATACATAGATTGGAATTGATTTTATACAAATCGAAATCAATGCACCAAAATTCAAAAATGAATCAAAAAATAAAGTCGAGTTACCTTAATCGATTACGCACCAAAACAGTCGATTAACACTTTAATCGACTATCAAAGCGTAGTCGATTAACTTAATCAGCCTGCGCGAACTTCTCTACCCGCGCCATCCTCCGCCAGATCTGCCAAAAAATCATTGATCTGTCTCCTCATCGTCACCACACTACCCCACTTCGATATTCTGACGTTTTTTTTTTTTTTTTTATTACAAATAAAGTAAATCACCCGCATCATATTTCCATGCACCATGAGTGAAAGTTGGACTTGTTGCTCCACCAACCAGGAGTGAAAGTACATTTGGAAATTAAACATGAATTTGAAATTATGTATGTGAATGCCATTTTGCTCTGAACTATGTGATAGCTTGTTGTTTACCCCTAAACATGTGTAATGGATATTTTATCCCCACATAATTGGGATTAATCTATCCAAAATTTGGACAAAAAATAGTAACTTTCTGGCACGATGATTAAGTTCAGGAAAAAGTGTTAAATTAATGTTCAAGGAGCAATGTGCAAATCGACATATAATTCAGGAGCAAAATATTTTATCATAAATTTTCTATGCGTGTGGTCAATAATCACAACTCTAATGAAAATAAATCATGAAAATGTGTCATATATTTATATATGGTTGGGCATGGGTTGGGTAATTATCGTCAAATTACCAACCCAATCCCACCAATTGATTTTACTAAATACTGAAAATCTGGGTCAGTTGATTGGTATTATCGACCATCTAATTATTTTTAATTTTATATAATAACAATGTTACTAAATCAAAATTTTTAAAAGATTTTTCAAAAGATAAAGACATTTTGAGAAAACTTTTGTTGCAAAAAACCTAATCTTAGTGTCTTTTTTTTACTACATTTCGACAATAAGTAAATATATATAATGAAGAATATGAAATATCAATTATAAAATACAAATAGTACTTAAAAGTTTATGAATTTGTATTTTAAGTTTTTGATTTTTGACTTCTTTTATATATTATTTTATGTTTTAAATTTTCTTTTTCCCCTCAAATTTTATTAACATAAATTTATTAAATTATTACCATTAAATATTTATAATATTCGTTTCATATTAAAAAAGTCAGTTGCTCGAGTAATTATCTTCCAACCGACTTTTGAGTATACTGAAAAATCGACCGACCATGTATAAATACGGGTCAGTTAAAATTGTCGTGCACGGTTATATGAGCTGGCTACTAATCATTGGTCGGCCATGAAAAGTGGGTCGAAAGTGGGTAGGTTGACCGATAAAACCTACCCATGCCCAACCATACATTTACAATATATAAAGCGAATAAATATTCAGTTGAATATATATCTTTTTTATTTGAATGGACACATTTTCGATCTAATGGCATGGAAACTCCTTCATATTTTTAAAGGCTCCATAATTGAATATTTTAAGTGATTTATTAATTTTCCATTCACTAAAAGATGATTTTGAGAAAATAAATTTGCTCTATTTAAATAATCAAACTCAATATTTTCCAACTGAATTAATCATGAAAATAAACAAATTCTTCATGATGAAGATATACCTACTGACCATTCACAATTTGCAGAATAGTAATCAATATGATCTTTTTTCCACAAAGTGATAATAAATACAATGATAATTTCAGTCATAAAATTGTGTAACTAAATATTAATAGCTATTGCCACAAATCAATGTAATCAACTTCTTCCTCCACATGCATCGTCCCATAGTAACAAACATTTGAATAATCATTAATTACCATATTCGCCGTTTCAATCTCGTATGTGAAATGATGATTATCGATAAAATAATTCATATCCGTATCCATCCATTCAAATCCATGATCATCCGGTGACAATGTGGAGCAGCTTTCCATTTGCTCTACGTCGGAAAATAGTAATAGAGAATCTTCTGAATATTCGTCTGATGATGAAGAACTGCAAGTCTCATCAGAACAGCAGGAATATTCTTGATCCACAATATTATCGGACCTTTGATCATCAGATCCATTAATAATAATATCTTCGGCTTTTGAATCGTCGTCGTCTTGTTGGAGTAAAGACATAACAAGTAGTGAACAGCTGTCGATATATTCTAAGAGCTCTACCTCATTCAAATCATCGTAACTCTGCATATTCGAAATGCTGGTTTCATTTGCTGTCGAAAAATTGGCCATTTATTATTAGAAAAAGGTATGCGTATAGATATATTTCAAGAAAGAGAGATAAAATACGAAGATTAGAAGAAATAGTTTACGAAATCTCTGATAATGTATTTTCGATCAAAAGAGTGTAGGCATATATATATATATATATATATATATATATATATATATATATATATATATATATATATATATATATATATATATATATATATATATATATATATATATATATATATATATATATATATATATATATATATATATATATATATATATATATATATATATATATATATATATATATCGATATTATCACGTGCAACAACCATGGTTGCATGTGCATTTGTTTCTTTAATTTATTTACCTAAGAGTTGTTGGTAGTTGATTAATGGCCATGTGGACAGCTAACTTTGGTGATCCTACCATTCATGCAGTACTAATAATACAATAATATATTTATTATGAATATTTAATAATGATTCGAATTATTTGGTCGAAAGTTGTCATGAAATAACCGAACACGATGCCAGGAACACTCTACTCCGGAGGCTGTGTCGGCAGATACATGTAATAATCAATTATCATACATTACATGTATGCAAGGGCTATTACAAACAAGGTGGTGTTTGCAAAAGCTTTTTGAAAGTGATTATAAACTTTTTTTTGCTCGTAATCTGTTTTCAAGTGTTTGCAAAATCAACTTTTGCTTTTGCTTCTCTTAAAATAATTTGCTTTAAGCTATTTTTTTAAAAGCACCACTAACCATGTTTTTTCTATTTAAGTTCATTTTCCGAAATATTTGCAAACACCCCCAACTTTTAAAAATAAACACTTAAAACTAATTTAATTCACAATCAATAACTTGTGCTTTTAAATAATCATTTGCAAACATCACCTAAGTCCGTGGTGGGCAACATATTCTAATCTATGTGCATTCCCAAATCTTTTTTATCAAAAGAATCAGACAAGTCCGTAAGAGGGTAAAGGGCTAAAATATCCTTAATATATTTCAATTTCATTCGTGTAACCCTATTTTGACTGTTAGTCAACGGCAGCGGAAAATACGAAAAGAGAAAAAAGAAAGAAAAAAAAAAGTTAATGCCGAAAACAAAATTCATAAAAAAGTTAGAGTTAAATTTTTATGGTCAAAATTGATGAACTTGGAGTTAAATTATGGTACAATTAAAAAATAGGATTTAAAGAGTTGGTGGTAATTTTATCATAAACATTAAGTTAAGAGATCGACACGTGAATATGGATTAGTAAAGGTAGTTGGTCAGGACATTCTCACAAAAAAACTATTAAATATATAAGGTCCGGCATAAAAAAAAAAAAAAAAAAAAAGGATAAATTATGAAAATTGTCCTGAACTTAGGCTAAATAACGAAAAACACCCTTACCTCTTGGTAATCTACCAAAACTCCTTTGAGGTTTGTTTTCGTTTTACACCAATCCCTTACAGTGTGGCTTTTCACGAATTTTTTATTTTTCCAGGGAATAGAATTTACACAATTTCAGATATTTTCTTTTATTTTTCACTTATTTAATAAAATGTATAATAAACTGTACACATTTACTGTTAAAAAACTTGATCAACAGTAAATTAGAGGGGAATTTTGATTATTAAAAAACTTGGGGTATGTTTATTAAATTTGCAATAAATAAATCAAACAAATCAGATCTCATCACATGATAAACAGATCCAGAGAGTCAGCATCCACACATTCATAATAGTTAAATGGATTGGATGCAATAATATCATATATCTGATAAGGATACTTTGTAGCTATAATAATAATTATTCAGAGGTACATATTAAAACTAATAAATTAAACCAGTCAAAGTTTCAATATCTGAATCAATATTTTTCATTCAATTTTCCATTTAATAAAAGTATTGTCCCCAATAATATTTATAAAGATAAGATCAAAGGATGGAAAAATTAATACAACGTTTAAAGTGGTGTTTGCAAAAGCTTTTCAAAAGTGATTATGAACTTTTTTTTTTGCTTATAATCTGTTTTCAGGTGTTTGCAAAATTAACTTTTGCTTTTGCTTCTCTTAAAATAATCTGCTTTAAGCTATTTTTTTAAAAGCACCCATAACCCTGCTTTTTCTATTTAAGTTTATTTTCCAGAATATTTGCAGACACCCCAACTTTTAGAAATAAGCATTTAGGTGGTGTTTGCAAATGCTTTTAAATAAGCAGAAGTTAGTGATTCTGATTTAAGTTCAGGATAAGTGTTTATTCCTAAAAGCAGGGGGTGTTTGCAAATATCAAAAAAATCAACTTAAAGCACCCAATAAAAAAGTTGTAGTGTTTGCAAAATAAACTTTAATTTTCTGCTTATTTTTTTAAAATGTCTTAAATGCCCTAATTGAGTACAAACTCATTTTTTCAAGGAAAATTTCATAGTCGGATTTATAGCCTTGTTGTTCTATGCAACAATTGCTATAGCTAAACCAGTGCAAAGTAAAATGATTTACAAAAAAAAATCATATTTTCTTTAGTTCATCCATTCTACAAACAGAACAAGAACAGATAAGACAAACTCAAAAGGAAAACGAGTAGAGGAATTTCACGTAAAGAAAACAACATCTCTGCATTACAAAAGATAAAAGTAGTATAAATAATAATAATATAGAATATAATAATAATAATAATAATAATAATAATAATAATAATAATAATAATAATAATAATAATAATAATAATAATAATAATAATAATAATAATAATAATAATAATAATAATAATAATAATAATAATAATAATAATAATAATAATAATAATAATAATAATAATAATAATAATAATAATAATAATAATAATAATAATAATAATAATAATAATAATAATAATAATAATAATAATAATAAAACACATCTAAACACTAATGAATAAATATTCCAATTCTAGAAAACGCAATGGAGGTACATATATCATCTCTAACCCTGTCCATGCCACCATCAATGACGTCAAAATTGGGTCCATGAATATTGTCATTGGATCGACGATTACTAGTCCTATTTGGCAAATACTCGGGGTCACGATCATATTGTGAAAAATCTTCATCTAGTGCATCCACTTTACGAATAAAGTTATGAATTGCCATCGTAGCCGGGACAAGCGCTACTTGATCTTCCCATGAAATATTGATAGGTATATCTTTCATCGTGTAAAATCTTTCTTTCCAACATCCAAACGCTCGTTCAATCGTACTTCTTATTGACGAGTGAAAATGGTTGAAGACTTCATATTGATTTGTGTATGTAGTCGCTCGTTGAAAATCTGGAAGATGATATTTCTGATATTTGTATGGTGCAAGAAATCCTGGTATATTTGGATAACCGGCATCAACTAGGTAATACTTACCTATCACAAATATTGATACAAAACTCAGGTATCATTAATAATGTCGATAGTCTAATAGGCAAAAAAAATATGAATTTGAAAATGAAAATAAATCAAACCAAGAGGCGGCATTGGAAATTTTTTTTCTGGATTTCTGATGGTGTTATAAAATATTCGAGTATCGTGCACGCTCCCCTCCCAACCTGGCAATACGTACGTGAAACACATATCAAAATCACATACGGCCATAATATTTTGAGTAGGAGTTCCTTTCCTTCCAATAAATGGAGTTTGGAGCTCTTTCCGAAGAGCTGCCTTAATGTGAGTTCCGTCAATTGCACCAATACAATCCTTAAGATTTTTTAAATTTAATCGGTTAGAAGTTAAGAAAAGATAATATTGATAAATGCAACCATTAACTATATAAATTACCTTAAAGTGGGGATAAAATCTCTCGTTTGTTCGAATGTAATCATGAGTAACAGAGTTTTCTGAAAATGGGATAATCCAATCCATGGACATCAATGTGCATGCTTTTAAAACTCTGTGAAATGATTTACTTATTGTAAACCCAGACATCTGCAGCATTTCTTGACACTGTCTATTTCCCAATCTTGGCCCCATTAGCATGAGAAATGTTGCTACCTGTTCTTCAACTGCAACTCCTCTCATTGGCTTCAGACCATATTCATCAACTAATAATCTACAAAGTTGAAAGAATGTGTCTATTCTCATTCTTAAGTTGTCCTTGCAACGCCGAGGATTTCCATTGAATATGGACAATAAAGCTGCCCATCCACTATATTCTCTATCGTGACATGGATTTTTATGTAAATAATTTTTATAATAAGTTAATGCCGCAATAGATAGGGAGATAAGAACCTGGACATTGGTTCTTTTAGATGTGGGTGTGGGTGCACTTTCAATTTCATCTCCACTGCTCAAAGCATCTAAACTGCAACTACTTGATGATTGTGAAAGAGAATCCATATTTGAGTCATCATCAATATCACCCATTCTGTTTCAATAACAAAGTATTTAGAAAAACAAACTATTAAATTAGTCAATTTCACCAGATGAAAACACATTAGGTGATATAATAACTCAAAACTCAAAAAAACATAACAAGTCAAGTATTGCTGACAATCACACTTACTCAATGCAAAATAGACAATAGCAAATAAAAAAAAATAGTTATAAGACTAGCAACTAATGAACTTCGAAAATATTTAGTGAAATTCCAAAGTATTAAACCAAAAGTTCATTTTCCATTAGAATGATGCATGGTCGTTATCGAGAGAACTTTGATCTGATGTAATCTAAGTGGAACGACGCCTCGTGTCCCGTTCCATTTGCTCCTCAAGCCACTTGAATCGAATTTCATCTTTCTTTATGGTAATAAATAATTCCCGAATAGCTGGCTTTAAGAAAATGCGAGTAGCATACATCCATAAAGGATCACCTTCCTCAATCTCAGGCATATTCTCCAATATCTCGAGACAATTTTGTATGCTATATTGACGCCCTGTATCAACAATATTGCGAGTTGACTCATGTTCCATTGCTTCAACCATCCTCTCAAGGCACGTTGAGATCTTGTCAGCATTAGTAACCTTCTTAGCCTTTCTCTTACGAAGACGATTGAGAAATTCAGTGCTTTTCCTTTTCGAACTAGTTGGTGCCTCAATTGGTAGCTCGTTTGGTGCATCAGTAGGTATTTGAGGCTCAGATTGTGTAACACTTTCAAAATCTTCCGATGGCTGACAATGAGATT